GCAATTTTCCCATTGATCTGGGTCTCATCATTTCATTAGACAGAATCACTCTTGTATTTTAGGATTGTTCTTTTAGGAAACAGGTTCATTATCTGGACTAGCTGTTGCTCCTCTTATTGATAAATTCTCTTTCTGTAATAAGATGTGTATCTGTTCTCTTTTTTATCAGCTGCCGCTAAATGACAATGAGGATATATTTGGGTGGTGGGTTGAGCGGGAGGTTGGTTATCTTTTTCTCCTTAATAAGTGCAGGTGAGTCAGTCACCCAAGATTTCAAATTGGTCCTTGTTTTTAAAGACCGCTAGGTACAGATGTATTTTTTTTTTTGAAACGGAGTCTCGCTCTGTCACCCAGGCTGGAGTGCAGTGGTCAGATCTCAGCTCATTGCAAGCTCCGCCTCCCGGGTTTACGCCATTCTCCTGCCTCAGCCTCCCCAGTAGCTGGGACTACAGGCGCCCGCCACCTCGCCCGGCTAGTTTTTTGTATTTTTTAGTAGAGACGGGGTTTCATCGTGTTAGCCAGGATGGTCTTGATCTCCTGACCTCGTGATCCGCCCGTCTTGGCTTAGCACTCACACATGAATTTCCCAGAATTATCTGGGAAAACCTTTTGGTGAAGCATTTTTTTTTTCAATGGAAGTGCTGGCAGTTGCACTTAGCCCAACAAGAAACACTACACAAAATGTCACTCTTGGGAGATGTCCTGCTGCTTCTAAACCTTGTGTTGGGCCTGTGAAATACTCGGAACTGCTCAGAGTAGAAATGTAATGCAAACACTGTGTAGTGATAGTGTCAATTATGCTGTTTTTGCAGCTGAAAACTAGAAGTGTTTAAGGTGAGGTTCAGCTGAGGTTCACTGAACAGAGAAGGGTCACATAGCCTGGCTGTGAACCACATCCAAGTGTGGCCATGGCAGGCAAGATGACAAGTTCATAACAATAATGGTATGCAATAATATACTGATGTTATGACACACAGCATACATGTAAACTATTATAAAAATCATGTGATTTTCCTGGCGTGTTATTTTTCTGTTTACCTTTGAAAGAATGGGTAAAAGTTAGGCCTTTGGAACCTGCAGAACAAATTAAGACTCAGGAATCTTCTGAATGTTATGGTAAACAAAAATCAACAGAGTCGAGAAAGAGTGTGTGTACAAAGTGTGTGTAACCATGAGGACGCAACGTGCCATACTTGACTTTTTGATCCAGTTGTCAAAGAACTTCCTGACAAATAGCTGTGTGTGTGTATCCATTAGGAAATAGTGTTATATGATGATTGATAGCATAAGTTATATAGCCAAGTCCAGCTGGCTTGAATTCTAGTTCTACTTACTACCTGTGTATTTGAGTTACTGTGTGTAACTCATAGCCTCAATTTTGTTGTCTGTGAAACAGGAATAAGAATGTTACCCACATCATATGATTTTCAATATCATGCAACAATGATGTACATAAAACATACAGTGCCTGGCCATGGCCAAGTGCTCACTGAATGTTGGTTATTACTATGAGTTCAGCAAAGGATGCAAAACTAGAAATGATTACATATGTAGAACTCCCCAGAAAGTCATGTTCATTTCATTGGTTTGAAAGGTCATACATAGATGGCTACCCATATCTCGTAGGTGTTTATAAATGTTACTCTCTTCATGTATATTTTTGTTTAAGGGCATTTGTTAATAATTCCAGGAAGAAATTTGAGGGGTGTGTAGCATAACTACATGTGATTTATTGTAGGGCGGTGGTCACGAGACTCAGGATTGGGAGATGTTCTTTTCTCCAGGTGGGTTAGACTTTTGATCTCTCAATAGTTGCTTGCTTCAAATCTCTTGTTGCACAAGTCTGTCTATTCTTGGAAATCAGAGAGGTCTCGGTTTTCAGAGGCCATTGGAGTTTGGGTCCAAGATACTTGGCAGAGAGGAATAGGTATTAGCAAGTCCTAAATTATGGTTGTGGACTGTGGAGTTCCCTGCAGAGAGCACTCAGCCTTCTCTCTCTGCATTTACTTTACAAATGGTTTACGAGATCTCTCATAGTTTGACTTAGTCTTTACTTCTGCATCATCCCTGTGAGTATAAATACAAATGAAAAGTAAGATGTGAATCAGACGTATCCATAAACAAGAGTCGTCTCTGGATTCTAACAATAAATAAACCATAATGTCCAGCAAAATTAACCTATGGCTGTTTCTTGAGCTAATTATCTTCCCACAGATAGAAACACTACTGATTCCAGGTCCACTGGTTTTTCAATTTGTCTTCCTTACTTTATTTTGGTGAAATTCAGGAAATTTTCAAATTAGATCATTTCTGAAGTTGTGGATTACCAAATATCAGAGTAAAACCATCCAAATACCTTCTCTTTCCATGTGTAGTTCCAATTTCCTGAAGCTAATTTCTTCCTTCTAATTACAAGCACTCCAAGAACTAGGTTTTGCTACTCAGCATGAGAACAAGTAACTCTTATTTCTTCAGTCTGAGTTTGAATGCAGGAGGCTTCCTGAATCTGCCAGAATACAGGTGCTTAAGGTAGAAGATCAATATAAATGTTCCCTGTTCTATTACGAAAATTAAATGTTTAATGCTAAGGTTAACTAGGGAAAACATAGATCTCCCAATGATCAGAACTTCTTGCTTGATATATCTGAAGGAATCTTGCCCTGGTGACAGGTAACATGAGACACTGACTTCTTTTCTTATTTTCTCCTCCCTAAAGGGGGTTTAAGTTCAAGGAGTTAAAACGTGGAAGTTCTAACTAGGTGTCAAATGTTGTTTTAAAATTACTAGGTTGATGTAGGTATTTTCATCAAATCCAAGTGTACTCTTTGGTGTCTCACTGTTTACTCATGACAAAATGAAAACATATGTGTTCATTTGGGAGGATTCTGCTTTACCATAAATAAGTGGCTAGAATGCCTTTCTGGACCAAGCTTTCTTGTCATTTTTACCCTTCACCCTAATAACTAGGACATACCATCTTAGCAGAGCTAGAACATCTTATGTTGAGACTGGCATTCAAGATTATCCCTTGACTGACTTTCTGATTTCCCTGACAGTAGTGCATTGAGTCTACTGAAGGATCATGTGAATGAATTTAGTGTTAGTCAGCAAAGGGTCAAATCATGCAATTTGTTTTAGAAGCAAAACGTCCTGCCCCCCTGGATTCCACCAAACAGCCTCCCTCCCTTTCTTGAAAGTTTCTTGCTTTATCAGGTTCTAAAATTGATTCCTAACAAGTGCTGTAACCTAAGAAAACAAGAATAATTCTGTTTTCATCGTTCTCATAGTTTTAAAGTGTATGTAGTTGGGATTTAATTTCCATAATAAAAGTTCTTTTGTTAATATCACTTTACCAAGTAGTCTAGATCCAGTCTTACCCGCTTGGGAAACTTTAAAAAATGGCAGGACTCAGTCTCCTTTTATTTTTAATCTGAGACCATAACAGAAAAAGGGTCAGAACTCAATAGTACTTTTCTTTCCCCATTTCTTTCATATTCAAGCCACCAAATAAGAGCTGTGGCTGCAAATTTTAGCAAAATGCTTTGCTATCTACCACTTCTTAATGGCTTATTATGCACCAGGCACAAGGTTAAGTACTTGGCATTATTTTAACTGATTCAATCAGTATAACGATATAAAGCAGATACTAGCATCCATGTTCTAAGTGGGGATACTAAGACTTTGAGAGGTTAATTTCACATAGATAGAAAATGAAGGGGTCAGAATCTGATCACTAGACCCCTTCTTACCAGAAGGCCACCGTGACCACCCTAAAAAGCATAGATGTGGTGCGTATGATGGGGGAAAAAATGTAGTATAAAGTGAAGAAACATACAGCCCCTATCATGAAAAATTAGGCACAATTAAGATACTAAGTTCTCCCTCTGCCTGAAAGACCCCAATATCCATACACCTATAAAAGAGAGTGCAGAAAGACTACCTCAAGGCCCATCACACCTCAAGGCAGGTAGTGAGTAATTTTCTCCTCTTCCCTTAATCTTCTCTCCCATCCTTTGCAAATATTTCTGCTGAAGTGAAGGTGGCTGGTGAGAAATAAATAAAATGGCTGCACACGCTGCTTGAAAATTGTCATATTTCTCAGTTAAGGAAAAGATCAGCACACCTCAGAATTCAAGACTGAATCAAATAAGTATCCTGATTAGAATTGCATGCATGCCCTGAGTCAAATGCCTTCGAGTATATACATAGTCAATGAAAGGGAATAAAAGTCTGTGTGTATGTGCTTGGATTTGTTTTCTGTGTGATTACGATTAGCATTGCAGTTCTCCAATGAAAGTATCTCCTGCTCAGTAGTCTCTTTTGTGTTCTTCAGCGCTAGTAGCCATAAGAACTAGGTATCTAATAACACAGTATAACAACTACCCATTGCAAATTAAGAATGCCCTTATAACTGTCTGTGCCTTGGAGCCCAGCTTTGGGTTCTGTACCATATTCTCTTCCTTAAAAATGCTGACAATTGGGATGCTGTTTCGTTGAGCTTTTTCCATATCCCACATATGTATGCATAGAAGGTTCAACATTGCTGAGTTCTTTTGGTTAACTGCAACTCAGTTACCGAACTATTCAATGATTAAAGAAGAAACGTTCCAGAGGCCTTCTGTTTTGATTCTAGCTTACTGTAATCTGATGATGATGATGCCAGCTTTTATACAAAGGACGACAGCACCATAGTGGGCAGCCATTTTGTTGAGGAAACTGGAAACGCTCACCCTTTTAAAAACCTAAGCTACCCTGACTACAGTCTTATTATTTCTTCAGTTTAAGGTTACATTTTCTGCCTCCCACAGACTAATGTCACTTCTCCATGTTGAGAACAAGAGCGACATTTGGCATTTGGTTATCCCAAACCCAAATCTCTGACCCTTTGTTTTTAGTACTTTGCCATTTTGATTTTGCTTTTTTAATTTGCTTGTGACTCTCTGCTTCCCCCATCTTTTTTTTTTTTTTGGTACAATGATTCTTACCTTGTCTTTCCCCAGTCCGTTTCTGACCTGGAGAGACGTACAGCATGTTATTGTCAGGACTTCCCGTGCGGGACATTTGAACGCTAATGACTGGAAAACCAATGCTGCTGGTTTTAAGGGTGAGAACTTCTTTCATATTCTGTCACAGGCAAAATATTTTTATTTTTCCCCCATTTTAAACGGAGAGCAGGAAATAGAACCCCCTCAAACAAAACTTTAAATTTTCTGCTGACACACAAAGAGCTTGATCTTTTAGTAAATAAAAGGCAGGTTGATTTTTTTAAGTTAAAACTACACAGATAAGTGAGATTTCTTTGGCTTCCCACATCATAGGTCAATTTTTTTTAAAAGATCGACCAACTCCCATGTATAGTCGACCTATGGGACCCCTGATTAGTTTACTATTTGCTGTCATTGAGTATCTAAGTGATATTTATAATAATGCATTTTAAAATTCCTCACCTTCTATAGGACTACTTCCACTTCAATAGTAACTGATATATATTGTTCACTTTAGTGTAGCACTGTTAGTTGCTAAGGCCATGCATTCTACAAATTTTGCTTTTGTTTGTTTTAAATTTTCCACAAAGAAAAACAGGTAATAATTCTAAGAAATGTTACTTTATATAAACTAAAAATTCTGATGAAGCTTTATAATGTCCAGTCCTTATGCAATTGTGCACAGTATGTAACAAGTACTGAAGATTTTCCCATGGCTAATACGGAGCATAGTTCCCAAAGTCTTATTAACAGTAGCTATTCTGTTTATTGTCATAGGTAATATATGTTATAATAAAAATAAAATGGCCGTATAAAACATATATCCTAAAGTTTAGTATATTTACTCAAGTTGTAAGTGACCTAAATTATAATAAAGTTTTAATTCAGTAATCTAACTTATAACAAAGATTAATTTGTTTATATCTACAGACTTAAAACGTATTCCCAAATAATCTTAGTATCATCCTATATCTGTATGGATGAAATACAGTGTTCCATAGCACAGGGCACATCTACTTAAAAATTGAGGTTCTGATGGTCAGACCATTGGTAACATGGTCCTGAGCAAGTCATTTAATTTTTAAGGGCCCTAATAATTTAAGCATTTTGGATGCTAAGTAATATTATCTACATATCATATCTTACATATGATCTTAATATATCCTTATATATGACCAATATATGCAAATATTTCTACTAGAATGTATATTTTTAAAATTACTTGTAAATAATTTATTATAGACTCATGCTGAAACAAAACCTATAAATATCCTGGATTACCAGTGCCACATTAAGAATTCTTTGATTAATATCTTCACAGAAAGCTTCACTCTATTTTTAGGAAAAGAATATGTCCCTGCTTTGGAGTATTATCAAATACCTTTCCATGCATGTAAACTATATAATGCAGCAGTTTTCAATGAACTTTTAATCTAGAATTGTAAATACCTGTTGGCATTGCATTCTCTGAAGCCCAAATCAGGAGATTTGATCCCAAAATTGTAATTGTATGGGCAACATCAAAATTATTAGAAATTTCAGTTGTTCCAGAAAATCCAGGATGTAATTTGCCATATGTATGTTTCGTTTTGATTAGCTTCCACATGCTCCCAACTCCTACAATATAAATCCATGAGGCTGCAGGGGAGAGAAGGAGCTGACACATAACCTTGGCTGATTGAAAGCTGGAATGAACTTCTTAGTAGAGGGATCACAGACTAAGGACATTAACCTCCATGAAGTTGAGGAAACTTTAACCCAAATAAATGTCTTAGTTTTACTTATTATTGTTTGGCAATTTAAAAAGAGCAAATAGTTCTAACAAAAATGCAGCTCTTTTGAAAACCTCTGTTGGTTTAGGAGAGGGGGAAACAGAGGATTTAGACTAAATCACCAGACCCAAACCTGAATTTGAAGAGGGTTGTGCACTGCTTCTGGCAAGGAGGAAGTGGTATTTTACTATTGCACGTGGCAATATTTAGTATAATATTTCACTCTTCTCTTAGATGGCTGCCAAGAGTAACAATTAAAGTTCACTTTTTCACAGATGAATTATTCTGAATGGGCTGGGCTCCCAGTGGGATTGTTTTGTAATTTTGTTGATGGCAAGTCCCATATTTCATCTAAACAGGATCATAATAAGATGACTTTAAAAAAAAAAAAAAAGAGTTATTTTCTTCTCTACTCTAAACATTACCATCCCCTCCCTAGAGTCCCCCAAATAAATGTGATTAAGGCAGAGGCTAGCAGGAGAAGCAACATGCTTTGGGGAAGTGGAGAATGCGGGGTACTAGGACTGCAGAAAGATGCTATGACTTTTTATGAAATAACATCTGAAAGAACAAAAAAGAGCTAAGGCTTAGAAAAGGTTCCTACACCAAGAGCTCAACAAGGGCTTGTATTTAAATTAGGTCGGCCGGCTTTTGCAGGTCTTGCTTAGCAGGAATCCATAGTCATCTATTTCTCCTTAGACTGGGAAAACGGAAATTGCCTGCCTACAGAAATGTATGGTCCTGGGTGCCCTTCTTTATCCCACCCAACTCTGTCCTAACACTGAGTGAAATATATGCATGAAATGAATCTGAAAACTCCTGTTCTTCCTTGGGCTTGCTTTTGTGTCCCAGTGTTGAATAATTTATTAATAACTTGTTGGAAGAGTAGTTTAAAAAAAAATAGAACAGTTTCACAAATTGCTCAATTGCCAGTAATAGGGACATCAATGTCCCCCATCAGAATTTCTTTCTCATCAGGTAAGGCAGAAGCCACTTAGGGTAGCAAACAACTCAGTTTTGGAGTTCAGACATCACTAGACTTCATAGTCTTTATTATCACTGATAACTTCAGTAAAGCCAACACCCCAAAGAACAGTCTCTACCAAAACCCTACCAAATGCATTTTATCCAACCTCCTTACATTTCTTCAGACATACCCCATGTCCTACATCCTAGGCAGACAGCAGCACTAGATGATGTTTGAGCTAGACTTGTGTGCGGCCCTGCTGAAGGCAGACTTGATCCATTCTTACCCACATGTGTTATGGACTGGAACAGGGAAGGTTTCTCATTCTGAAGCAGCTGCTGGCTTGGACAGATTCTCATTCAGGCTAGGAAGCTGGCCTTGAACAACTAAAGAATGTGGCTTTCTGATGACTCATCTCTGTTTCTCGGAGAGTGGGATTACCCTGGAGGTGCTTACTGATGAGCTAGGGACAGAGAACTTTCTTCTGCTTTTTCTGTGCCCTCCTTATAAAAGCACTCTGTAAATGACCCTATCATGAGATGACCTCACAGGGAAGCCACATGTAAACATTCTTATGCTAATAGCACCTTAATTTTCAACAATTTTAATCAAACTAAGATTATTCTGCCCTGCTGCTTCTTAAATAATAATAATAATCTCTTATAGTATAATTAAAATATCTTTTCCAATAGATTAGTTTTTCAGAATAAACATAATCCGATGAATACATACCTATGGAAACTGACTAAACATTGTTTTGCTTTGTTCATCTTGTGAATAATCCTAGCTAAGCTTCAGACAACAGCTTTTGACTTTAAACCTCCTCCAGAGATAGTTTTTTTAAATTAAATGGAATAAAGATCATGTACCTATCAGAGAATCTACTTTAGATTGCCCATGAGAATAGGGAATTATTTGCCTTAGACCAGATGAACAGATGTGATATTCTGCCACCAGAGAACTGGAATCCAAATTCCAGTATTTTGCTTCTGACCAGTATTTGCAACGCCAGGAGGTGACTTTGGCATTAAGCTGTTTGGGGTTTTGTTAATATTATTTCTTTCCTCCCTTGATCCCTTCCCTTTCTGCTTATGAAAAGTCTTTTCTGTTTTGTTTTGTTTTCTATTCTTTTTAATTTTCCCTCGTGTTCCCTAAAGCATACGAATTAGCCATGAAAGTGAAGGCTGTTGCCATTCCAGCTGGTTTTTCTTCCTGGAATTTAATGGATGTTGTCTCTTCATTTATCTATTTCCCAATATTTCCTGAGCACCTTCAGCATGCCCACCCAACACATGTTGAAGTGAGCACAGGAAGTGGGAGGGGAAGAAACGTCAGGGACACCATGGCATGGACTAATCTGACCTGCCCTGGTGTAACTTACATACAGAAACAGAAATTTACACTCCATCTCTTTTTTTCTTTAGTCAAGCCCAAACAATCTGTCAGGTCATGTTAGATAAGTGATGATGATCCTTCTCTCATCATCTAAAATTCAGGTTAATGTCGGCAGCAGAAGGCATCTGCTATAGAGAATATCTTTGTCTGCTGTGTATTTTGACCAGCTCCATTTGGGCATATAGTATATGCAGATCCACAGAGCCATGCGGAAGACTTCAATGCAGGCATTTTTCATAACCTGTGGCTTATCATCATTTCAGGAAGAAGTGAGCTCTGTCTTGTGATCTCCTCCCTTTTACTGCTGTAATCTGAGGAAACTGTAAATCCACTGACCTCTCCCGCCAGTGCCTGGGCTGTGCGGGCTGATTCTTGCCCCGAGTCCTTATCTTTGGTTTGGGTGTGCAGTTATAATTATAATTGAATGCATGCAACATCAGTGATCTAGTTTTCTTTTTTTCAAAGTGTTTATATTGGATTATATGACTGTATACAGTTAAACTCTCTTAAATCTAGGAACAGGAATAGACGTCAGATAATAAATTAGGACCTTCTGTCATCTTTACTAGGCGAAAGAATGAAAAAAATGTCATTGAAAATCAAAAAATGACAACTAAGTGAGAGAGGTTACCACGCCTTCCATTTCACTGCCCTCCCAGACTATGTAAGTCTCTTTTTTTCTACCAGCATGTTGCTGAAACCTCCCCCATCCCCACTGACTCTTTCTTTGACCACAACTAAACTACTAGATTTTTTTTTTTTTAATTTCTAACTGATTACCCACCGTGGGGAAAACAATTGACAGTCTAACATGACTTCCTAGCCTCCGAGGCCTTAACTTTTAATAACCTGTATTACTTTTAATTGCCATCATTTTATTTCCACTGGTAGGGTTGATAATTTTAAGATGTCCAATATATTTTTAATACCTACCTGTCTTGTTTTCAGTTTGTAACACTTATTAAAAAGAATTGAAAGTGCTGAA